TTGTTTGAACCTACTCTGTGGGTGAGTATAAAACTTACTGAAGGTAAGTTTTATACTCACCCACAGAGTAGGTTCAAACAATTTTTGAAACCCACCACTGCTGTGAACAATCAATAGCTGTAATGGCTGAAACTGGAGCCAATGATCATCTCATTCATTTCATTTCCCTAAATTTACCCTTACTGTCATTTCAGTAAGAAAAATCTAATAAAAATTCTAAGCTGCAAACAAGATTTTTGCTCTTTTTCAATTATAATTGCTTATTTATCAAATTTATATGGCAATCCACATCCCCAAGAAGAGACAGGATGACATATAATTTTATACTTTATACATTCTTTCTTAGAATATTGTATCATTTGGACCTGCTCATCTGGATTTGTTTTGATGGTTGCATAGTAGTAGCTCTTTTTGTTTGTGTGATATTGATCGTAAAGAACTCTGGTGATCTCATTCTTTCAAAACAATAACATTCAATTTTTTCCTCAGCTGAAATGGTTCTAGAACTTAGTAAACGAAATCCATCTTTGAGTAAGATATCAATCAGTAGTCCAAGAACATTAGCTCCATTAAATAACTTCCGCTTATCAGGTTTTATAGAAACATACCTGTAGAAAGAAAAGAGATAAATATGTTAGTATTAATTTATTAAGCATTTCCAATGCACTTACTTTTTGTTAAACTTTTTAAACAGTGTGATTTTTCAACCCAGGTAGGTAGCATCTACCTGACCTTGGCTAGTACTGAAAAATTAAGCAAGATGAGATTATTTTTATCAGACCTCTAAGAAATCCCAAGTCTCTAATCTAGTTTGGAATATTTTTTTTGGTGGGGGGGAGAATTTACAAAAAACATTGCCAGATCTACATCGCCAAAATAATATATGCCACATGAGTTCAAACTAAACTGAAATAGACTTTATTTTTAAAGATGAACAGAAGTTTAAAGTGCACTAAAAGACAAGTTAACTTCAATGTCCTGAACGAATAAAAGTGTTGTTGTTGTTGTTGTTGTTTGAGATTGTGAAAGGTGCAGAATTTTGCTGGGCTTCTGAAAAGCAAGTGCCATAAAATGTTTTATATAATAATCACTGATACTTTGCTAAAATTTTATTTTATCTAGCTTCATTTTCCATTTGAAATGGTCCTGGGGTTTGCTATTGCTTTTCTGTATATTTTCATAAAGAAATCCATTTAGAAAAGCCTAACAATTTGAATAGCTGAATGATATATTTATCTTAGAAAGCAGAACCAGCTTGATTTACATTTGTATATTATTTCTCTTAATTGGATGATATGTACAAAACCCATTATTTACTTTAGCAAATGTTTTAGAACAGGTAAAGTTTTAATATCTTGCATTAAGATCTTTAGCCGCAGTGGCCATACAGAATATCAATGTTTATGATCTCAATGATTTAGATGATATATAGTCAAAAAGAAATAACAATGGATCTAATGGCATTTTATCCATCAGAGATGGGGAATTTGCAAACCTAGAGTCTCCACTCCAGCTGCTACTTTCAAAACCCTCATTCAAAACATACTATATCTTTGGCAAGTCATATGTCCTCCTCTAGAGTCTGCTTAGGAGAGATAACATTTCCATTTACTTTTGGCTACAACCCTATGCACTGTTTGCCTCACTATTGCCTGTCATATTCCCCATCCGAATGCAGCTTTTGAAAAATCTGCTGTGGCAGACCTATTTAATTCCTTTTTACTGTATTATTTATGTACAGGACAACCTCTTTATATATGACAAAATTTCTTTTTTCTTTCACATTCTTTCTGTAAAAATAACTTCTTTAAAGTTGATCTGGCAAGTAGTTGGTTTATTACGTTGTTTTGTAGATACCACTCAGAATGCTAAGCAAATTTATTGATTTGCTTACCTGCTCATATGAGTGGAAGGGCAAAACAGTGATAGATGTGTGCTAATATCAAATTTGTTCACAGAAATATAAGGATCTTGGTTTACTATTATATCAGTGTTATTAGAAAAGGATAGAAAATTGGCTAATGTACTTAACTTCACAACACGGTCAACATGACCATAACCATAGAGAAACATTTTGCATATTTTTAAAATAGGGAAAAAATGGTGGAAATGAATTTTTTCACGCACAAAGATGTGCAAAACTTTTCGCATCTAGGATTAAAGTTTGTACTCTTTCTTTTTCTCCTGCTCCTAACAAGGATCACCCTCAAGACTGTGTTATCAGAAACTTTTTGCCCCTTTTCTCTTCTAGAAGTATACCAGTGGTGGGTTTCTGCTGGTTCGTACCGGATCGGGAGAACCGGATGGTGAAATTTACCGATCCGGTGAGAGGAGGTTCCACTGGTGGACCCGGAAGTAAGTTCCGGAACGCCTGCCCCGTCCGTCTCCCCATGCTCAGAAAAGCGCTGTCCGGGGAGGTCCCTTACTGGCAGGCAGGCGTCCTAGAACCTGCCTGCCAGCAAAGGACTTAAATGGAATCGCTTTTCTGAGCACGGGGAGACAGGCAGGAGTTTGCACCGTCCGTCTCCCCGTGCTCAGAAAAGCGCTGTCCGGGAAGGTCCCTTACTGGTGAACAGATGCCCTAGAACTTGCCTGCCAGTGCCGTGCAAACTTCTCCGGTGCACCCGAGCTGGTGGAATGCCTGCAACCAACTGCCCATTGCCAGGGAGACAGCCAGTGCAGGTGAGCCACGCGTTTGCTCCGATCGCACGGACGCTCCACCAGCTCAGGTGCAGACAGACCGGAGAAGTTTCTCTTCTCAGAAATGTCTTCTCAGCGAAGCTGAGGCAGCCTGCCTGTCCCTTTCAGGTGGGTCACCTGGGAGGGAGGAGGCCAGGGGGAGAATAAAGGGAGCTGCAGTTCCTCTGTGAATGGAGGGAGAGGAAAAAAGTTGGGATTCTCCCTGCTGCAGCATTTAAATGGCAGATAGGAGCCGAACCCCCCCCCCCTTCACAGAGGAGTTGCTGCTCCCTTTATGTGAATGTGTGATATTTTGCAAAGACTGGGAAATCTCATGCAGTCTCTGAACAAGAAAAATGTATTGGCATGTTAATGGGGGAAACAGGTGGGCTAATTATAATCTTAA